ACCTGTGGCTGCTTTTGTCAGCAGCACTCCACTGGCCATCAAGACGGCCGTCGGCTCGGATTTGGCTTTGCGAGATCCATTCACAAAGGTAAAAACATTGGAGAGTTCCATACTCCACTCTAGATTCATAGACCCCTACCTGCTTAAACTGCGTGGTTAGTCGGCATGGTTTGGGTCATTTAGACTGCTAAAAAATTGTCCTTATTGAGTCTTTAGCCTGTGCATTCTGCTTGTTGCAGCCCATACATGCAGATTATCAGCATCAAGAACCGAGGCTCTCTGATTTGGTCCTCAAGGTCCTGCCAGAGATCTTTTCAGATCTCACAGTGCGCAGGTCGCTGGTGTTCCGCTTTCTTCGGATTGAGCCCGATGACCGTGATTCGGATCTTTTTGGAGGATTGTGTTGACTGTGTCAGCTGAGTGAGGTACTGACCCCCAACAGTTCTGTGAAGGGGTATCGTGGCAGTCTCAGTTTGTTTTTCTGTTTTCTGTCCAGAACAACAAAAAGCATGCGCCCACGGATTTGATGGTGTTGGCACACATGCGTTTGGATGCCAAAAGTTGGTGGTAAGGAGAAAATGCAACATTACTTTAGTGATGGTATGTTTCCAAAGCAACTTATGGAGCAGCACGCAGGAGAATCCCCCAAAACACCAGCTAGGCGCTAGCATGGCGCTTGTGTGCTAGTTTTTCCCCCAGAAAGTGACAGCGATCGGGGCTCCTACTTGAAGTTTTGGAAGAGGTGCCTGTGTGCGCTTTGGTACTGGTGCTTTTGCAGGGTGCTGCTGTAGGGTGCTGCGTCAACGCTGAATACAGGGACAAAGCACCAGGGTGCTGCCTAAAAGTATCTTTTGCTATTTGGTGTATATGCTGGCGCATTTGAAGCCAGAGCCAGCTTCCGCGCAAGAACCGGCTTCGAGGTTTGGATTGCAGTGGCAGATTCGTGGACTTCGGTGTGCGAGTACCCGTCCCATCCTTATCCATGGGTCAATCTAATCGAAGCAGTTGGCTCATGTTGGTACTGCGATGCTTTTCTTTACAGACTTGTCAATCGCCACTCTGAAAAGTATGTGTGCGTTGCAAGCAATGCGTGCAGGTCCTGCGATGCGTACACTGTCTATATTGTTGCATCTTGCTTGCAAAGCATTCGAAGCAGTCCAACGCTCCAGTAGTTGCAGTTAGGCCCAGTTAGGCACTTGCAAGGGAGAAACCAGACTCATGCAGCCTGCAATTGCTTTGCTAGGCGTGCTTGCTGAATCATTGCAGAGTCCTTCAGAGGCAATTTTGCAGTTTCAGGATGATTTCACAGTTTCGACTCGCCTAATCCCACGTCTTCTCTCAGAACACTGATGTTGGGCAGGCAGCCAACTTCTTGAGATCTGCATGCGAGGCTCAATCATACTGTCAATAGAATCTAATATTTAATAGACCGCAAGTTGAGCCCTCTCCACCTCTTGCTCATAGCTGCTCAGTGTGAGCAGCGACGGTGAAAAGGGGAGGTTTCCCACAAGTGAGAGAAACGTAACGACACTGAGAGGTGACTCGGAATGGTGTTGCAACTTTGAAGGTTGCAGCTTGGTTTGATAGAGTTCTTTCACGTCTGAGATGTCTTTGCTTGCCTTCTTGCAGGCTGAGTTTGTTTATGTTGCTTCCAAAGAAATCCTTGCAATATCTGAGGGTTGCCTTCAGCATTTGAGTACACACTTTGCGGCCTTCCTGTGCGGAGCTTTGTCTTTGGCTGACCGTGTTCAGAAGGTCGGCCCACACGTTTGTCTCACAGCATTGTTTTGCACGACAAGACATGCATTCAGGTTATATATATATATACACTTTTCTATCGTTCCTCTTCTTGTACATATATGCATAGGTTGGAGGCCATTGCTATTAGGTTGGAGGCCACCGCTATCAGGTTGGAGGCCATCACTATTAGGTTGGATGCAGGGCTGCGTGCTAAACGAATGTCTAGTTCCAGGCCAACGTATGTGTGCCAGCACAGTTTAATTTACACTTAAAAGCCAGGTGGGTGCAAAGTACAGTATAGGACAAGGCTCAATTGGTTCAGTTATAGTACGCACGTCTATTATAGAAGAAATTGATTGTGCCAATCTTCTGTTTGAAGGGATGGAAATTTGCCGCCTGGAGGGTTTCAAATAGAAGAGGGCCAGGTGGAAAAAAGTCCTGGGCACAACGTTGGTGAACACCGAGAGAGGCCCCCGAGCCAGAGGCAAAGAAGAGGAAGAGAAGGGAAGGGAAAGGAGAAAGGGTAGGGAAAGGGGGAAGGAGGAAGGCAGGGGGAAAGAGGCAGAAGGGAAGGGAGAATCTGAGAAGGGGGAAGAGGTAAGGAGGTAAAGGAAAGGAAGGTAAAGGTAAAGAGAAGGTAGAAGGAAGGAAAGGTGGAAAGGGAACGAGAAGGGGAAGGGGAAGGAGGCAGAAGGGAAGGCAAAGCAGAAGGCAGAAGAGAAGCTAGGGGGTTTACCTAGCTGCCGGAACAATACTTGAGCAGCCGCGGAAAATGACCGCGGGTGTATTTATGTTGCTTTTCTCTTCTTCTCCAGGGAGGGAGAGAGAGCCAGGGAAAGAGAGGGGTGGGCCAAAAAATATACTGTATATACTTTATTCTAGTTGAAGACCTGTTGGTGAGCACGTTTATCAACCCCTTGTCCTGACCTATATATTTCTTCTATTTGTCCCGGAACCCTGCTACGGGAGGAATATGCAGCCTTCTATTTGAACATATCCCATGCTATATATTATGTACATTAAATACAGTATCATTAAATTAACTGTCCGTTCAGTCAGCACTTCTCTAACAACAGCACCTAGCACCTCCAAGCAAGACACCTCCCAAACCCATCACTTGGCCAGCTCTACAGACTCGTGCATGCTGATCACCTAACTGATAGGCGTCACTTCGCTAGCTCAATACAGCTTGTAGGCCGGCGATAGTTCAGCTAACTCTCAGCTGACTCACCATTTGGCCATCTCAATGTTTTGCTAGCTACGTTAGTAGCTTCCTCCCAGCTAACTCTCCATGTGGCAAGGTCAAAACTTAGCTAGCTCACAGGTGCAACAAACCTAATGCAGAGCTATTTCAACACTTGTTTAGCTCACGATTCCTTAGCTCAAGAGAGGGCTGACTCACGACGCAGCTACCTCAACATCCAGCTAGCTCGAGACCCTGCTGCCTCACCACGCCAACTCAGCCAGCTCAATACTGTTTGCTAAGTCACAAAGTAGCGAACTCATTTGTCAGCTAGCATCAGCTACTTGACCATTTAACAGCATATGGAATTGTATTTTTTTTGGCGTGTACTTCCTGATGTAGTGGTTGGAAGTTCGACTTGAGCGATTCATACCCTCGGATCATACCTCGAATCATACCCCCGAATCATACCCCTCAAAACGTTACACGTAAGAACCAGGTGTTAAGGTAAAGTTTTTGATTGGTCTTTGTGCCTTGTAGATGTCCATGAGCCAATGGTGCATGACACTTGCAATTGTGTGATCCATGGGCACTCAATTTGGCCAAAATTGTTTGTGTCTTCTTGTGGGAAGAGCAAAGGCTCACATCCCAGGGGTACGAGCCAAAGGACCGCCTTCTTTTGCAGAATCTAATGGCCATACGAATCACACCCGATTCATGCCCGATTCATACCCGAATCACGCACCTCCACACAGTCTCCCACCCATCCCACATCCTGGTTGTTTTGGTGGGGCCTGCAGAGGGCCACTGGAGTCTTTGGTGGAAGAGTGCATTTGCCTAATCTGCCCAGCATCCAACAGATGCTGCTTGCCTACTGCCTCGGCGCAGAGTGGGCCCACTGCTGGAAGTCCAGCTAATCCAACAATATAACTTCAAAGCTGCGAATCATACCCTCGAATCATACCCCCGAATCATACCCCGAATCATACCACCTATTCAAACTTCCCGGCCCGACTACGGTAAAAAAATACACACCCATATTCTGCTAGCTCATTGCAGGAAAAGCTTGCTTTGGGAAAAGAAACGTTGTTGTTTAGGGTTTCCTGGCAGCTTTGTATATAAGTACAAGATAATACAAGTAAATAAACAAGTCACACTGCACCAAAGGCTAAACTGATATTGATGATTAAATCAAATATAACTTCCCAAGCAATTGAGGATGCTTGAAATGCAGGACTATGCACATATGCTCAAAGTCTCAGGACTGCCTTCTTGGACATGGCACCACAAAACTCTCCGGGGTTGAGAGCGGCGCTTCTTCTGGTACAGTCGATGCGCAGGACCCAAACCATAACGATGTTTCACTTGTCAGACGATTGTTTGAAGGATGTTGAAAGCGCACTGGGTTGAAGCGAAAGGGAACCAGTGTTTTCATTGCTTCCATGGACTAATTAGCGTTGAGGAAGCTTGGTCCAAAAGCACCAGACGCCTAGCTGCACTTGGACAATTTCAGAGGTGTTGACAAACACAGTCTTTCTTTACTGGGAAGTAGGTGCTGGTACCGAGAAGTCTAAGGAACGCTTGGCTCTCATGGACGATCGGCTCAAGTCCATTTGCGCATAGATCCTGTGCAAGTTGCAAAGTGAACCCAAAGGGCATCAATCAGATCGAGAAGCATGCTTGCCGGTGGCTACGAGAACAACTGGTTGCGATTCATGAAGATCGCGGATTGCCAGGATATTTCTTTGAGGTTCCCACATCGACGGCAACTGCAGTCTGAGCATGTCTGAGAACGGTTGCGATCAATCTAGGACTAGGGAAGGTTCATCACAACGAGAATGAGCTTGAATGTTCATTCCATGTCATTTCTTAACAGTGCCCAGCAAAACAAGGTCAAAAAGCGTTTCTTGCCGTGGAGTGCAAAATCCCTTCAAAATTAGGCTAAGTAATTACAGTAATTACTTGGATTTACTGATATAATTATGTGGAAAAGGAAAAGACATAGACAGGCATGAAATATTTCACAGGATAACAGTCAGTCACGCAGAACGCAGCCTGCAATGAATATGCCGCTCCTTCAAGCAAGCTGTAGGGTAGTTGACTATACAGCCTTTGCTTCCACACCTCAGCAGCAAGATGTCGATCTACAACTGGGCAAAGTACGACCCCAAGTACTACCTGAATGGAGCGTTGTGCGGAGGGATTTGCTGCTCCATCACCCACGGTGCTTTGTGCCCTGTGGATGTGGTGAAGACTCGTATCCAACTTGACCCCATCAAGTACCAGGGTGGATTGTTGAGTGTCGGAAGGCAAGTCGTCGCTGAAGAAGGTGCCTCAGTGCTCGCTACAGGTCTGGGACCAACAGCGGCTGGTTACTTCGTGCAGGGATGGTTCAAGTTTGGAGGCAACGAGTTTTTCAAGATCCAGTTTTGCCAGTCTTTGGGTGACCAAAAGGCGTGGGACAGAAAGGCTTTCATCATGCTTGGAGCATCTGCCTGTGCTGAGTTCATTGCAGATATCTTCCTGTGCCCTTTGGAAGCTGCTCGCATTCGTCAAGTGTCTGACCCCACATTCCCCAAGGGCACGTTCACTGCAATGAAGGAGTTGATGGCCAGGGAGGGAATCATGGGTTGGTATGCGGGTCTTGTGCCCATTCTCTTCAAGCAGATCCCTTACACCATGGCCAAGTTTGCAGTTCAAGGTAACACTGAGATTGCCATTTACGCCAGCTTGCCGACCAAGAGAGAGAACTTGAGCCATGCTTCCAAGATGGGCGTGTCTGTTACTTCCGGCTTCATTGCGGGGGTGGCAGCTGCGATCATTTCACATCCTGCCGATTCTCTCCTTTCCAAGATCAACAAGAAGGGGGCAGGCGGTGACGGTGGCATGGTTTCTCGCTTGTGGAACATCGCCAAAGAGACTGGTTTCGCGAAGCTTTGCACCACAGGTCTTGGACCAAGGTGCATCATGATCGGCACCCTGACAGCGGGCCAGTTCTTGATTTTCGACACGTTGATGCCCATTATGGGAGTTGAGAAATTCCACTTCCACGACCCATCAAAGCCTCACTGAGCATTCTACGAGAGACTGAGAGACGCGTTTTGTCCCGTTGACCACTCAGCCGACGGTCAGATAAACTCTCAATGAAACTCTCAATGGAGATCATTGATTGAAAAAAGATTGACAGAAAAAATAAGATATGGAAGACGTCAATGTGGTCAAGAGCATCGAAACGGCTGGAATGGGTTTGGATGCTGAGGAGTTGAAGACAGCAAAGTATGCACAGGTGAGCAACGTCATAAACCTCTATGAAAGAATTTAGGTAGGACTTAAGATTATGAATCTGTGCGAAAGGAAAACTGCAGTTGGGGAAAGCTTGGCGAAAGGTTTGGAGAAAGGCTCTGATTTTTTGATGAATGGATTTTGTTGCGAAAGGGTTGGCGAAGAGGTTTTCAGTACAAAGCATGTCATCCAAAGATTCCTGATAACCAGGCGAAAGGTTGGCGAAAGGTTCGCGAAGATGTGGCGAAAGCAGTGGTTGCAGATTAGGAATGATTCCCCTTTGCTGATACTTTTCTTAGATGTAAGTAGCAGAAACTCGGCGAAAGGGTTAGCTAAAGAGGTTGTCGGGTGAAGTGGGTCGGCGAAAGCAAAACATGCAGCCGCGAAAGCGTTGCGAAGGGATTGGCGAAAGGTTGTTATAATCTTAATAAAAGTTCCGGATGGTTTTTGACACCGCTCAGGTGATTTGACAGAGTTTGTCCCTAGATTATGTAAAATCATTCATTGTTGGGTCGAGGGTGTTCGTTATGTTTAACATATAGATGTCTGATTTTTGTTGTGAGAAGTACATTATTTCAACATGTTATATTCCTGCAATACTACGTTAGGCCTGGCGCATCATGATTCCGCACTTTCAAACATGATGTCGTTCAAAATGTTCGACAAATCGGATAGTGATTGACATATTTTGGACATATTGGTACCACGAAATCTGCACTTCAAGGTCCACAAAGTACCGCACCTGCCACGAAACTTGCACTTCAAGGTCCGCAAAGTATTGCACGTACCACGAAATCTGCACTTCAAGGTCCACAAAGTATTGCGCCTGCCACAAAATTTGCACTTTAAGGTCCTCGAAGTATTGCGCCTGCCACAAAATCTGCACTTCGAGGTCCACAAAGTGCTGCGCCTGCCACAAAATTTGCACTTTAAGGCCCACAAAGTACTGTACTTCCTACGAAATCTGCATTTCAAGGTCTACCAAGTACGTAGTGCGCCTGCCACAAAATTTGCACTTTAAAGACCGCATCGTATTGCGGCTGCCACGAAATCTGCACTTTAAGGTGTGAAGTATTGCTCTAAACATCTCTAAACGAAAAACAAAAACCAAACAAAGAAACAAAAAGCTTCCAAAAATATATTCGCAGCCGTTGTCGGTAGTCAGCTCTTGCGAAACACACATTATAGACCTCAGTGGGATCTGGTTGCGAAACACACTTAGATCCATGTTCGTAAGAGCTAAATCAGTTTGGAAAGCCCCGAGAGTGAGTTACTGATTATATTCGACCTTGACTCACAGCTTTCTCAATAGTTGAAAACTCGCAAAGCTTAAAGTTGCTTGGGATAATGTTAGAGGGCTGTAAGACCACGTACGGGGTGGATGTTGAGGGCCACTTCAACCTCCTCACCTAGCTTTTAGCTTAGCTTCTTTCCGCACTGTTCTATATATCTGTTTATCCATCCGTCTATTTGTCTATCTATCTACCCCTCTATCTACAATGATTATCTATTTATTTTTCTTTCTATCTATTTTGTTACCTATCTATTTATCTGTCTATTTATTTATCTATCTATTTTTCCTCTGTCTCTCTTTTTCTCTCTGTCTCTCTTTCTCTCTTTTGCAATTTGTTTATTTCTATTTCTATCTTCACAAAGTGCTGCACCCGCCACAATCTGCGCCTTCATGTCCACAAAGTATTGTGCCTGCCACAAAAATTGCACTTCAAGGTCCACAAAGTACTGCGCTGCGCCTACCACGAAATGTGCACTTCGAGGTCCATAAAAAAGTGCCTGCCACGAAATTTGCACTTCAAGGCCTACAAAATATTGCGCCTGCTATATCTGTCTACTTATTCGTTTATATCTGTTTGTCTATCTACTTGTCCATCTATGGTGACCATTTATTTTTCTATCTATTTGTTTGTCTATCTATCCATCCATCTATCTATTTATTTATCTATCTGTCTATCTATCGATTTATTTCTCTCTCTCTCTCTCTCTCTTTTTTTCTTTCTTTTGTGACATAAATTGCACCTCCCACAAAATTTGCATTTCAAGGTCCACAAAGTACTGCAACTACCACGAAATTTGCACGAAATTTGCACTTCGAGGTCCACAAAGTACTGCACCTGCCACGAAATTTGCATTTTAAGGTCCATAAGATTGCGCCTACCACGAAATCTGCACTTCAAGGTCCACAATGAGTCCACAACATATCTATCGACCTATCCGTCAATATCTGTCTATCTATCCACCTATCCATCTATGGTGATTATGATTGTTTTTGAAACCTGATTGATCGGATGAGGGAATTCGAATCGCCGCAACTCACCGTCGCTCAAGTCAAAAGGTGGGTACAGCTCGCGTGGCGTGCCGATGGGTGGACCCAACTTTGGTGGAGGGTTGGGCCACTTGGTGTGCACTCTGATTGGTGCCTGGCTACACTCGTCGTTTGGGCCAGGGACCAGTCAGGGGGAGGCAGTCCAGAAAGCGGCAGATTTAGCAGGGGAAAAGTGTCTCAAACATTGTCAAGTCGATTGTTCGCAGTACACGTTGGATCAGAACTTCAAAGTGCAAGTGAGCTTTGGTTTGACATTGTTTTCAGTGTTTGGTTGGTTTCTTGTGGTGCTCTATCATTGGTGTGGAGGCGGGAGGCGTAGTTTTGCCCCCATCACACCGGCATCAGAAGATAGTTCGCCGAGTGGAGCTGAAGAGAGAAGATCCCTTGCTCTTTCGCAACTCGCGGAAGTGAGGGCACGAGGTCGTCGAGATGTCTTTACTTAATAGGCAGTTGTTGCTCCAGTACGACGTTGCCGGACCCGTGCTCTGGCACGAGAGGCTGGTCTTAGCGCACATCCAAAATGAAGACTACATAGTGGCCACCCCGGACCAAGACGTTCACTACGAAGAATTGTCCTTGCTCAATGCTGACCTTCGGGGGATTCGAGTGAAGCCGTCTCCACATGCACTCCCTCCTGGCATTCTTGTACCCCTTGCCACCCTTTACACCGGTGGAAATGGCAGCACTGAGGTTGGAAGCTCAACGAGTCCTGGCGGTTGAGAGGACGGCACGTGGTCTCCTTGATGGGCCGGCGGCTGCTGTTGTTGCAGATGCGGGAGGGCTTCACGCTGGAACCTTGTACTGGGTGGCTGCTGAGAAGGTAGGTTCAGTCAAGTTCGGAGATGTTGTTCAGCATGTCGCAGCAACTCAGGCAGATGGTGCCAAGGCAGTGCACGTTTTACCTGACGGGGCCTCGATTTTTGTGCAATGCATTGATGGGGGACAACACAAGAAATTCATGCAAAGGGCATCAGACTATGATCCAAGGATTGTTGGGCAGGAATATGATGCTTTGGGAAAGCCAGAATGTTCCCTCAAAGATGTGTCGGCAAAGTTTGAGGAGATTAGCATGCAGTGGAATCTCACCGGACCTCGTACTAGCAGATGGTGCATCTCATACTTGGTTGTTGAAGGGTTGGGTTTTGAGGGCCATCATGAACGTTTCAGACAACTTTGCAAGATTGAGGCATCGTCTTGGGGGGTTCAGGAGCACTATCAGCTGAGCATGATTGCAAAACATGCGTTGCAGACAGACCAGCTTGATGGGTACAACAATCTCTGCCTCGAAGTTGTGTTTAGGCGGCTCCAGACAATTGAATACGCCTATGCAGAGCGGGCCCGGGAGTTTGAGTCAAAGGCAGTTGGGGGTCGTTTGTCCTTGGAGGAGCAAAGCACTTTTGGGGGCATCACACGGCAAGCTGCGACATTGATGGTGTGTCCTCAGCTTCTGGACCATGTCAAATCAGAGGTTGAGCGTGATGCAACATTGGCGAAGAATCTCCGCAAGGCTCGTGAGGAGAGAGAGTTGGCCCGGAAGGCGAGTGGCAAGAAGAAAGCAGGTGAAGACGCCCCCTAAAGGGGGTTGGAGTGGCGAAATGGAGGAGTTCGCCGCTCTGGACCATTCATCCTCCATGCATGGCATTGGATTCAGCAATTAGTGCCTGCGAGCAGACACGTTTCCAGGAAGGCAAGACGCCGAGCACTGACCATCCACCATCAGGAGGAGGAGGCAAACAATACAATACAGGCCTTGAATTTGATGTATGGGTGCAATTCTTCATACAGACCGCTGATTTCTCTTGATGAGAACTTGGTTGGGATTGCAGCTGCATAGTACGACAGTTTAGAATTCATTCAGAAGAAAGTCATCGACATGGGAAAGCCACCAGATGACTTGAATGGCTCAGGGGCTCTTTCAATGCTCCGGGCCGCCAATGGCTACGGTGATGACCAGCCCGTAGGTTCATTGGCTTCGTTCAACATCGAAGCTGTCTCTATGCCCGAGGCGGGTTGGGTTCCCGTGGACCTGGCCACATTGTGGGGCAGCGACGGTCAGAGGAAAGTTGACGATTTTGTTTCGCATCAAGTGCTGCCACCGGAGAAAGCGAAGATTAAATTGGAGGCTTGCGGGGTCAGAGCACCTTACTCGGATCCTTTGTTGCGGCAGGGTCGTGTGTATCACCAGTTCCTACACAAGTTGCATGAGTCACATTTGATTGACTACAGTTTGTCCCCTGGCATAGAGAAGATAGCTTTCTTTTGCGTGACCAAGAAATCTGGCAAACTACGGCTCATTGTGGATGCTCATTGTGGATGCTTGTAGGTCCAATGCACATTTTGAGGAACCTTCACATGTCTCTCTTACAACGGGAGATGGTTTGGGAGCCCTTGAATTTGAAAGAGATGCGCAGGTCACCATAGCGCAAGCAGATTTGAAGGACGCCTTTTACCACTTAGCAACGCCTGAGCGGTTGCGGGATTACTTCACCCTCACACCGGTGAAGGCTGGCGACATGGGCATCAAAACACTGCATGGACAGACGCTCAAACCAAACCAGAGGATCACTCCAAGGCTGGCGGTGGTCGCAATGGGATGGACATGGGCATTACATTTGTGTCAGAGCATTTATGAGTCATTAGCAGAGTCAGCTGGTCTCGCAGAGGAGGCTCGCATCCGTAATCGACAACCACCCCCACATACAGCATGTTGCCACACCCAGTATGTTGACAACCTCATCGTGATCGGCAGTCAGTCACCGGCAGTCAGTCACAAGCTGTCCTCGAGGCTTACCATAAGGCCACCGAGAAGCTGAAGGCTGCAGGGCTGCAGGTTCATGAGGAGGAGTGTGAAAAAGGTGGCAAGGTGCTTGGGTGGGAGATCACCTCGGACGCCCTGTTTCAGCCGTCTCGAAGTAGGGCCTGGAAGGTGCGACTGGCGGTGCGACAGCTCCTGGCCAGAGGACGTTGCACAGGTTCCTTGATGGAAAAGTTGGTTGGGCATTGCAGCTTTTTGTGTTTGGGGAGACGGGAGTGTTTTTCA